GAAAGGAAACCTGATCTTCTATGAATCAGACCTGACAGAGTGTGGCATTAATGTCAGAGAAGCCTCAGTGTACTCAGGAGTGTTCACACAGATCTTTAAAGAAGAGAGAGGGCTGTACCAAGAGAAGGTTTACTGTTTCGTCCATTTGAGCATTCAGGAGTTTTTAGCTGCTCTTCATGTCCATCTGACATTCACCAACTCCGGTATCAACCTGCTAGAAGAAGAACAAATGGCCTCAGTGCAGACTGACAAATTTTCAGTAAGACAGTTCTACCAGAGTGCTGTGGACAAGGCCTTACAACGTCCAAATGGACATCTGGAATTGTTTCTTCGCTTCCTCCTTGGTCTTTCACTGCAGACCAATCAGAATCTCTTACAAGACCTGCTCACACAAACAGGAAACAGCACACAGATAAATCAGGAAACAGTTCATTATGTTAAAGAAAGAATGAACGGCACTCTCTCTCCAGAGAAAAGCATCAATCTGCTTCTCTGTCTGAATGAATTGAATGATGACTCTATAGTGAAGGAGGTCCAGCATCAACTGAGTTCAGGACAACTTTCTAAAGTTGATCTCTCTCCTGCTCAGTGGTCAGCTCTTGTCTTCATCCTCCAGTCATCAGAAGCAGGTCTGGATGAGTTTGACTTGAGGAAATATTCAGCTTCAGAAGAGGCTCTTCTGCAGCTGCTGCCAGTGGTCAAAGCCTGTAAGAAAGCCCAGTAAGTATCCAGTTTAATCTCTTTAAAGTATTTATTTCAAAAGTTTGGAAAGTTCACTGCTATTCATGTCTTTCTAGGTTGAGTGGCTGTAACCTCACAGAGAGAAGCTGTGAAGCTCTTTCCTCAATTCTAAGTTTCCAGTCCTCCAGACTGAGAGAGCTGGACATGAGTAACAACAACCTCCAGGACTCAGGAGTGAAGCTGCTTTGTGTTGGACTTGGGAATCCACACTGTGTGCTGGAAACTCTCAGGTTAGCTTACTCTTTGTTTCAGGAGATTTGGATATTTCACAACAACTGTCATTATTTTATAGATGTTAACATGTTTTTTTCTATTTTGAAAGAGCACAGTAGAAGAGAAAGACACACACACACACACACACACACACACACACACACACACACACACACACACACACACACACACACACACACACATACAACAAAAAACATAACTTTATGTCTGTCCATCATAGTATAAAATAAAATGTAATAATATTTTTTCCATGTTTTTATACAGTCCTTAAAAGCCTTTTTTTAAACTACTTTAACTGAAATCAGAATCTGTTCATTTGACTGCATATACATCATCAAATGCAGAGCAGTTCCTTAAATTGTTGTATGTGTTTTAAGGTTGTCAGGCTGTCAGATCACAGGAACAGGCTTCACCGCTCTGGCCACAGCTCTGCGCTACAATCCCTCCTATTTGAAAGAGCTGGACTTGAGCTATAATCACCCAGGAGACTCAGGAATGAAGCTTTTGTCTTCTCAACAGCAGGATCTACATGTGAAACTGGACATACTCTGGTAGGAAAACAGGAAATAAAGCTGAAAATATATTTTTCTCCAACATTTTGTAAGGAAGAGCAGATATTTACTTGAAGTCATTTGAGGGTTTATTGTAACCACTGACCTGATGGCCCGTAATACAGTCTGTATGTCCAGTAAAATGGGCAACTGTGTGGGTGAATGACTCAGAACCAATCACAGTTAAAAGCTCACCTGTGAGTCAAAATCACAAAATCAATCATCTCTAACATTTTCTTGTCTTGCTGGTCAAAGGGGGTGCTCAAGCATATCCCAGCTGTCACAGTCTTTGCCAAGCAGTTGCATACTGTGATATCATTCACAATAAGTGGTAATCTTGTTGATCTGCTTTAGCTCAGTGGGTGAACAGGCGACCATATGCAGTATGGCCGGAGAGCAGTAGGCCTGGGTTCAAGCAGCCTTTTGCTGCATGTCTTTTCCTCTTTCTCTCACCACTTTCCTGTCTATCTACAATATATCTATCAAATGATGGACAAAAAAGTAAAGTAAGTGATAACCTTAACTCTAAGTTTACCTTAACCTTTAATTCAAGAGAGAAGCAAAACTGACGTTTTTCAAATTAGTTTTTGCTCTATATCAGATCGATTATTTTCTTTGTTTCCAGACTGCCAAGATTTGAGAGAATAATTGACTAAAAACAAATAAACAAGGCTGGGATCATGATGAGTTAGGCCTCAAAAAGTGTTTAAAATCAAATGAAATAGGCACCCACAACCTTTTGACTGCATGACCTTGCAACCTCATTAAGGTTGACAATTGAGATTGTGCATTTCAATAAAAGATTGAGGTATTTACCCCAATCACATCCCATCAGGATTCATCATCATTGCCCACGAGCGTTGCCTCTCTCGTTGTGTGTAAAGCTTGGCTGTGTGG